GGGCAGGTACTTGAAGCGATCGAGCTTGAAGGACCGCTGCTGCTCCTTGACCGTCTCGCCGCCCTCGTGTGCCTTCTTGTGCTCGACGTAGATCTGGAAGTCGACATTGTCCTTCTGATAGCTCTTGGGAAGCTCTGCGAGGATGTCGATGACATGGCGGTCTCCCAATCGCTCTTCCCGGTCGCCCACGATGATTAGGTTCGTGATGCAGCTCGATACTGTGCTGAGGTGTGCTTTCGTCTCATGTGCCCCATCCGATGCGACCTTGAGGACAACCTGCACCTCTTCCAGTAGCTTTGTAGGGAAATTCTGGCAGTAGTCGAGCTCGATTGAATTGGCGGCTTTGGTTTCGAGGGGCGGGAAATACGACTTTGTCTTCGCTTTGTGTACGGGCGCCTGGGGATGTGACCCTCTCCGATGCGAGAGTGTGTATGCAAAAAAGAAAAGAAGGAGGCCGGGGAAGAGAAATCTCCATGGCCGCCGTGCCAAACGGCCAGCCAGCGGTTTCAGCATGTTGCTGTCGCTGCGGCCGTGGGGGATGGGCGGTCGCTAGGGGTCTAAGGAGTCGCCGATAGGAAGCGATGCTATGAGGAGGAAGGTGCGATGGGCAGGCGGGCGACGTCACCGTGGCACATTGAGCAGGCGGTTGGTGTTGGGTGGTGGATGTGGAGGTGTCGACGACGATGATGGCGCATTGGCCCTGAGCCGCCGTCCTGCGCGACTTGCGAATCCAGGCCGGCTCCCTGACACGCGAACCCGCTAGCCGCCGGCGCTTGGTCTTCCCCTTGTGTCTTGGTCGCTTCATCACTCCAACCAACTGCAAACCTCAGTCCTTTCATCATCCTTCACCCGTGATTGCTATGTGCGACGTCGCCATGCGTGTTAGGTGCAACAGTGTCGACATCTACAGCGGGCATGTAGAATGCTGGCGATGACGTGTCCGCCATTCTCATCGACTTCCTGGAAGAGTGGGAGCTATCCGTATCCGTCCAGTGGAATGACCGCTCTTCAAACTGGTTGTACTCTGGGTCGTCCTCCACGTCGGACCAGTCTGGTAAGTTGTCCATGTCAGAGTCATCAATGTCGTCGTGGTCTGTCCTTGGATCGCTGTCTGGGTGCATCGAAAGGCCAATGGATACCAGGAAGAGATCACATGAGTCGGCCGATCGTGTTGTGAAGGAAGGCGCGCGCTCCATGTCCGCAACTCCACGCTGCAGAGTTGCGTGTTCCCGCTCGATGAGTTGCGCCGAAGAACACGCGAACGACCATGCTGAGGCGCTCTCTTGACTGGTGAGGCTAAGGGTTATTGCGTCCGCATGGGATTCCATGTCCATCATCGAAGAATAGAGACTCGGCCTTTCGTGTACGGCACATTGATCGTGTCGATATTCGTCTCCAGTACGGTTGCGTTCAATCCTGTTATCCGGGCCACATACGAAAGACCTACTCAAGTCCCTAGCTGTACTGGCAAGGCTCATAGTCTTTGGTCGCGCGACGCTTCGTGGAAGACGCCGATCATCTTCCTCAAATGTATTTCCCGCAGCAAAAGACGAAGACAGCGTCAGTCTCTGGCCAATGATACGTAGTTCGTCCAGCGGTAGCCTGTGTACGAAACGCAATATCGCAATATTGACTTGGAGACCTGCATACGCATTCAAATCGCTTATACGCTGATTGACCGTATCCTTTCTCGGAGCGCTATCGATGGACGCTCCACCCCGCTTCACTGTCTCGGGGCATGTGCGGTCGATTGGCGCGATCGGTGGCGTAGACGGCGACGTTCGCGCTTCGTTGTGGGACGTTGCTTGGGTTTCTATTGTCGAGATAGATTTGCTGTCGGTGTCGTGTTGCGCCAGAGAAGAGAAAGGGCTTGATTCGCGCGACCCTATGGAATCGCCACGCGCTTTGAACATGGAGATCGACAGTCGACGACTTAGCGAACGAAAGAAATGTTTGACTTTGCCCATCGGTAAGCTTGATATCCGCGACTTAATCATAACGCTGGTTGAAAAGTAAAGTGTTGCACTAAATTCGAGTAATTGCGGTGTAGTATAAGAGATCGACTGTCATAGCGCATTTGTGGCTTCTTTCACAAGTCCGCCGTGACTCCCGCTTGCAATACGTTTCTCGTTCCTCGCGCCTGATTTCACCGACCGTAACGATCACACTCGACAGCTGTCTTGCCACGACCTTCCGCTTCACGAGCATCTCGTTGCAATACCACTCCCGAAGCTACACAGTGTATCGAAATAAAGGCGTGGGAGAGGAAACACAGTGGAAATCATGGTGTTGAAAAATAGCTTCGTACCCTTTCCCGATACTCACAGTAGCAATGTGACTCGCATGAGGTATATAATGTGTGCTCCGTTACTGCACTACTCCTCAACCCGAAGACCATACTTTCATATTACTGCCACTGACACAGCCACCAGCAACATATCCACCTTACTCAGCAACCAAAGCATCGCACATAAGTAGTCGAAATACAGCTATCATATCCCATCATGAAGTGTCAGCTTCTCTCCGCCTCGCTCCTCTTGAGCCTCGTCCTCGCCGCACCAGTCGCAGAGCCAACCAACAACGTACAGCGAGCTGACAAGCAATCCTGTTCATCAAAGCCCCACCCAACTCTCGAAGACTTCCACAAGGCAGCAAAGAAATGGTGCGACGACCACGTCCGCGCCAACGCTCCCATGCCACCGATGTTGCCCAAGCCTGTCTTCGATCCTCACAATATGCCCATCATGCCGCCTCTTACCGCCGATTACACCTTCAAGCTGCCCAACCCCGACAAGAAGAAGCCCGATATCTCTGTCCCTGTAACATTCGAAGTCCGCGGCTTCGCGCCTATTACCCGGCGCTATTGTCACATTGGGTTTGGACTGCCGGTCACCTGGGACAATGGGCGAGCCGATGATGGGAAGTATCAGGTGAACGAACAGGTTGGTAAGGGTAATGTGTGTACGGGATCAGGTGGGAAGACGCTGGTTCAGGGTTGGAATCAGCCCATATGGTGGAATGAGTATGGCGTTGTTTTTAAGTGAAAGTGAGAAGATTTCGTCTCATAGTAGTCACAGATGTGTAAAAGAGGACGTTTCCAGTATCTTGTATCAATTATTCTACGATGGTTTGCCGAATACGTCGCAGCAACACTGTATCATCTCGCTGCCATCAATATGCCCAGGAGGTTGTCGTTGAGACCTGCGATCACATTCGACCAGATACAGTGCTGTCATGCGTATACATCCTCTTCTGGCCTGCTCCTCCATCCATCATAAACCAGTATAAAGTCTCCATAGCTCTTTTGCCATCCTCGCGCGACGCGGCAACTCACTTCGTAGTCGGCTAGTTCTTCGGCGGGATGAAGGGCGGAGGCTCGAGCGACTGCGGGACATGGTGGTGTTCCTCCAAGATCTCTTTGGGGAAACCGCTGTCGCTGTGGGCCAAGGTGCAGTTGACGATACGACATGTTCCGGTGGCGAAGTTCTTGCATTTCATGCGCTTGCAGTCCTTGTCGCGAAACTGGCAGGGCCAGCAGGTGGAGGCTCCGTCGCAATGTTTGGTGGTCTTGGAGTGGAAGCATTCAATGCACACCGCTGCGGGGGTGTGCTTGACCTTCTTGATGCGCTTGGCCGGGCTACTATTGTAAGGTCAGTCCTCTTCCTCGTAGCAGTGAAAATCGACTTACTTGTCAGCCTCATGTCCGCGCTTTTGGGACAGCTTCACCGCACTCTTGGTGTGTGACTTGCGGCGTGAGGCGAAGGAGACGAAGGCGTGATGGTCAGCCGACTCTTCTGCCTCCAGCTTGTGTCTTGAATCCGCTAGTTCCTGGTCGAGATTGGCGAAATCCCGCTGGTCTTTCTCGCTGGTCAACATCTCGTTCTTCTGCTCGAGAGCTTGAAGTTGAAGGTCCTGCTCGGCCATTGCGTCTTGCATCTGAACCTTGCCAGCCCACAGTGATGCGATCTGACCGCTGAGCTCTCGGTCGTGGGCAACAGCGTCGTCTTGAATCTGAGCATTTTCAGCCGACAGTGATGCGACTTGGTCGGTGAGCTCTCGGTTGCGGGCGAGAACCCCTGCAAGGACCGTGAGGACGAGGTTTGGGTGCTTTCGTGCGGTCAAAGGAGCCATGTTGCAAATGGTTTTGTGATGTAATCTTGGAATGTCGGTAGCAGATGTGGCAGTGAAGGTCGATCAATATGGCCAGTTCAAGTGCGGGCAATCAGGCGAAATCGGCGCTAAATCTCCGCGTCACGGGAACCACAGTGACTCAGAGTATCAAGTTCCCTCCCCAGTTTTCTATATGTACATTCCTCCTTCACCTCGTTGTCACTAATCCCCGCGGATGACCCGGGCACGGACGTCACGTGCGCCTTAGCGCGCCAAGCTCTTGGCGGGCTCTGATATCCATATGAGCTCCAACTTGCTCTTTTCTTCTTCAACTGTCTTTACTGCCTTCTCAACTGCTCATTGGCTTGGGCTCATCGTAAGGGATTCTCTTACTGATGAGTCACTTCGAATGTCACATATCAAGGTTTCACGAGATCTTGAGTGCGTCGTTGTGCTGGGGGCAAGTGCGAGGAACTGACCAAGCTTCTTGGAACGTTCGCCAGAGATTCATACTTCGACTCGAGTCTGACAGCCCGATCGGAGTCTCACCCGCAGTGCAGTTCATTCCTCAGGTTAGTTTTCACGAGAACTTACACGCCTGAATTGGGTGGGCAAGTTTGATGTGCGATTTGTCGTTTGTTCGCAAGCGATGAGTTGATACACGGGCTTGTTCATCTCCGGTCGCCTGTAGCTCTGGTGTCAGCCATGAGTATGCATCGCGGGATGGACTATTTTCATTGAGTACCTTTCCCTTGTGGCAAGGCTTGAGGAAGATGTTTACTTTCTATCTGTTGCGTGAAGGAGAGTTCCTGTATTTCCGACGCGAAGAGAGCTAATGCAATGACTACAGATATGCTTTGTCGGTATTGGCAGACCGTGAACAGCCGCTATCAAGGCGTCTCTTTCACACCATCGACATAAACCTCCACCCTCTCGTTATAGAAGCACATGTGTCCAGCAATAGGCGCGCTCTCCGCAGTCGGGTATCTGTAGTACCATATAAGATCCCGAAACAGCTTGCCTCCAACGCTGACGTTGTAGTACTCCGCGCGACCCTTGTACGGACACAAAGTCAGCGTGTCGCTCGGTGTGAGGTACTCCCAATTGACGCTCGTCGGCGGCAAATAATGCCTCGTCCTCAGCGTCGTCTCCAAAAGGAATAAGGCGCTTGAGCTCTCAGCAAGTGTAACGCCGTCGATAGCTACCCTGACGTTTCGGGAAGATGGTAGAATATCGATGCGCTTGTATGGGTCTTTGGGATGGCCATATATCTCCATGTCTTCTTCGAACCACTGATCAACAGCGCGAAAGTCGACTTTTACAAGATCTTTGAGCTTGCCGGTGTTGAAGATGAGGATGCGATTGCTACTGCGATTGCCGACTGTGAGACTCGCTAGGTGTGCGCCGCCATCTGTCCCGTCAACAGCGGAGCCTCGCGATAGTTTGGCGTGGGGAGTGAAGCTTGAGATTGGTACGAAATATCTTGTATGTTCAGCACAGTAAGAGCATACGGGTGAGAAGGTTGATCATACTGTGGGTAACGCAACTCCAGTTCCCAAACATGATGCGCATTCAGGGTGTCGAATGCATACTTTCCGTTGAGAAGGCCTCGTACGCGACGTGCTGTATGCTCTATCCTGCAAGGCCCATCTCGAACGAGTCTCTGTGCTAGTCGTACTAGACTGCATTTGTCAGCTGGTCATTACCTGGCGCATAGTGGGACGTCGGTAGAGACGCAACTCGCTGGTGTTTGCCATCCTGGGTGTCTTTTGTATCAACTTGGATTTGCGATAAGATTTGGAGATGAACGGATCTCGAACGATGTTGAGGAAATGTCGTGTGGACATAGGAAGGAAGACGTCAACTGGTGATGATGTAGGCTACCTTAGTACCGGAAGCGGGGCCGTGCTGATTGGTAGGAATAGCCGGAAGCTTACCAACCACACAACCACAATGAAGACACCGTCTCTACTAATCACAAAGATACAGTCTACAACCACGTACATGGTATCTTTTCGTACATTCAGAGCCACCCCAGGAGGATCTCAGCGGATTTCTATCGCAAGATACCTACTCCAAACGTCGCCGCGGCATACAATATGTCGTTCCTCCACGATCGACGACTAGGCGATACTTCGGCCTGACGGTCTACAGAAGATATCGTGAGTGCGATGAGGCGCCCTGTCATCCCTGAAGCCGTCGCGCCTGATCGCCACAAGCGATGCTCATCCTTACGACAAAGCTGACTCCATAGCTTCAACATCCTGCGCCGCGACTCTGGTTCCATCTGCGAGATACGCGTATGCGATGGCAACAGCAGACTTCTTGGCCTTCTTGTCCTCACCCTTTGTCACGTCGTCTTTCTGGTACTCTCCCGCTGCCATCCTTGCAGCCACTTCCTCCTTCGCTCTTGCCATCTGCTCGTCGATCATGCGATCTCTTATCCTTTCCCTTTCTGCAGTGGTCCTTGCCGCCAACCACATCTCTTCCAGGCTGTTACATCCTTCTGCCTGCTCGTCCGATGTCCTCTCCTCCAAGACCGCGTCCTTCATTGCCTTATCTGGGCCCTTCTCTTCCGCGCCACTGTCTTCTACCTCCCGTTTGCGCTTGTTCATCTTGTCGCTGTCTGCCTCGCTCTCCTTAGCCACGTCGCTGAAGTGAAGACGGTCGCAGAGCAGCTCGCAGCGCTCTCCAATCTCCTTAGCCGCAAAGCCGCAGCGACGGCGAACGCAATCGGTCTCGTTTTTGTAGCACTCGTTGCAAGGGTCGAGGTTGTCGCACGGGAGGTCGTTGGCGCGACATGTTACGCACTTGATGACGCGGTTGTAACCGACTCGGAGGACGGGCATGGAAGCAGTAGGAGGTTCATCTTCGTCGGTCAGGCTGCCTGTCGCTGAGGTGCCTGTCGCTGAAGTGCCTTCCACTATCGCCGGCGGCGATTGCTCCTCCTCGCGAAGCATCTGGTCGCCTGCCTGCGAATCCTCCGTATGGACGGGCAATGACATGGACGACTGGCTTCAAAACTTGTCAGCGCGGTGAACCAATTGAATACAGCATGGAAGGCATCGACGTACGCTGGATCTACCACAGGGTCGCCCTGGGCCGCAGTGATATCGGGAATCTGCGCCGGTTCGCTCATGACTGTTGTAGTCTGATAGTCGCGCGTGGTGTCGAGACGTAGGGAAGGAAAGATCAGTGAGCGATAGTGCTATGGAGACGCACTCTTCGTGTCTCGATTGATTCAAATGAAGCTCTGTTTGCACAGCAGGTTAGCGCCAATGCGTCATTTCTTGAAAAACTTCCCTAGGCAACACACGCGGTGACACACCGCACGAGCGAGAGAAAGCTAGTAGCGCTTGGACCTTCTCTGGCTACTTATCTGCCTTGCGACAACTGTTCATTACTCCTACACCACTTGTCGCAACTTCATTATATCGACTTCGAACAGGATCACAATGACCATGACCCGTTCCCGCTCCCCTGCACGCGCTCGTTCGGCTTCGCCCCGACGTTCGCGATCGGCTTCGCGAAACCAGCCTACTTCCCCGCACTCAGCCGCCTATGAGGGTGAGGACTACGACGGCGAGGAGTACGATGACTACGAGGACTACGAGGACTACAACGACGATGGGTCGGGTGCTCAAGATCGTGAGCTCACGCACGAGGAGAAGGTCCGCCGTTGCCTCGCCGACTCGCCCTCCCCAACGGGTTCCCCGATGCGTCAAGATGAGTAAGTATTCCCCACAACTCCCTACATCGTAGGGTCGTGTCTGACTCTGTAGCTCACCCCTGACTATCGCCGAGTGGAAGGCTAAGTCAGAGGAGTCCGATCGTAAAGCTGGCGTTGAGTATGTCCGTCACAGCCAGACCAAGGAGTTGTTCCGCGTCGACCGTAGGGAGAAAGAGTCCATGGGCAACTACATCACCACACTTGAGGCTGAGGCCGCCAAGGTCAAGACGCTTGAGGCTCAGGTCGCCAGGCTTAAGGAGCAAATGGCCAGTATGCAGGCTGAGAAGGACAAGAAGATCCTTGCTCTCGAGTCTGGGTTCAAGGCTCTCGGCTTGGACACCCAGGCCACCGCTACTCCGTATGTTCATCTTCCCGTATGTTATGGGATGACTTTGCTAACAGATTAGGGCGCCCACCATCGCTAAGTGTGGTTTGTACGACAAGCCTCGTGCTCATTGTCGTCCGAGCTGCACCCGTATGCACGTAGATGATGAGGTCAAGGTCGCCAACACCGGGGAGAAGGTCGAGATGATGGAGTACAAGTGACCGCGTGTGTACATACAGGGCATTTTGGAACTACAGAGGGCAGGATGACATACTGATATCGCCGCCGGGCCGTGACAAGGTCGTTACAAATACGTACATATCCTAGTATGTATGCATAAAAATTTGCGTTCGACCTGACCATATGCTACTCTTGAATGAATGTTCCCCTCGTAATGTGTCCTGCGAGGTAAAGTAACATGGAGATTTCGCGCATTCTGATAGCTTTTCTCTAGACCCACGTACTTTGAGACACAAGTAGATGGTCTCATACCTATACCAGCAGTCATCCCATCACCTCATATCGCGTCGTAGCTACTAGATATCTCTTTCACAACTCGTGTCAATGACTTCACACTTGTCGTTGAGACGGATATCGATCCTATTCTTGCCCTATCCCACTCTTCTGTCCCTTCAAACGAGGTCGCCATGCGTCCGAGTACAGTCGATGTCGCCCCTATTGCAATCGCAATCGGCGAGCAAGGCACCAGGTAAGCCACTAATATTTCACACCACATTGAATGCATACGCTAACACGCGTGCTGTCGTAGCATCGGTGATGGCTCTTCGAGCTCATACAACCGCGTCATCAAGCGCAAGCACTGTGCCTCCAATGGTCTGCCCTGCGATAGCACTCGCGACAGCTGCGCCGAGTGCACTCGCAATGGCGCCGAACGTACACGTCCTCGTTGCCACTTGTTCGTTCGTCCTGCAGCATCTTGCTATGGCGGTGCATGCGGACGTCTCCACAAGGATGATTGAGACTCGAGTGGAACGCATTGTTGCTTCTACGTGGACTGTATACATCGAAAGATGAGACGGACGGAGTGTATAATCCAGGCTGCATTCCAGAGTGTTGGTGGACAGATGAGAGATGGCGACGATACCCAGGAAGCATAAACGGCGTTCACGGCAGGAAACTTCCTAACTTAGTTTGTTCCGTCATACAATCTCCATCATATGTGTTTGATCTCTCATTGCTGTGAAGTTCATTGCGCGAGGGACAGTGTTCTTTCCAATGTGGAAAGAAGTGGAGTACGTTACGTGAGACCGTATGCAGGGCGTTGATGACTTGGGATCTGTAGTTGCGACGAAGCCGAACCCATTCTTGCGTTGTTCGACTCTTCTATTCGCCAGCACCCTCCCATACCTCTCAATTGAATGACGACTGGGTTCGGAAATCTGAAGCCTACCACATCTATCCCTGTGCTAAGGTGTGATGGGTCGTGAATGAAAAAAGGCGAATGTATTGCTGTACGGCGCAGCTGATGCACGGGAGTCGCCTTCCCGTTACGTGTTTATTCCAGCTTATAAGTCGGCGAATATCCGGAAAGCTATACATATGGCCATATCCTATTGCTGTCTTTTGCTCTTGCTGGCGAGCTGTCCATAAACACGGAAGATGGAAAGAAGCCTCCATTATGTCAACATCATTGACTGAACATATAAGGTTGCCTGGAGAACAATGACCGGGTGAACCACGGATCGCAGATCGAGATGAAGATTCGTTATGGTCGGTGCTGTCGGAGCGCGCCAGCCTCGCAAGTGCAGCGAGTGGAGCGATGGTCTCTCCGCCCAGCTACCGTCCGAAAAGCAAACACTAGTCATGTAAAGCCAAGACATATCCCGGCGTGATTCCGATATCTCCAGTGCTAACTGCTTCGAGGCCTGTCTCTTAAACGCGAAACAATCCGGAGCGGCTGGATGGCGCGACGCCTTGGCAGGGGAACCGAGGGGGAGATTGCAGCTGCAACGCCACATAGTCAGCATCCAGCTGCGGAATCCAGCGGCAATTTGGGCATCGCATTCTGTACTGGCAGGCATGGTGCAAATGTTGTGTTGCGAGAGCATGGAGTGTTGGGTGGAAATGGCAGGCCTGACTGCTGCTTCGAATGCCGTCAATCTCCGCCGTGCTTCCGACTCGCAGCAAGCGGCATGAACCCCATCCTACCAGCATCACCGGTGCATCCCACCACAACAGGAAAAAAACTGTGCGCTGTCCCACTTCGTATATGCATCCTTACTCAGGCCATTTTGTTTTCATGTCATGCGGTGCTGACGGCGATAGACACAACCGCTTGAGGTTGTAGAATCTACAAAGATCCGCAACGTTGCCTGCATCATGGTCTAGAACTGCGAAGGTTGTTCCTTTTCTCGTGGATTTTCTTTGATTCTGTCGATTGACCCGAGCTGCAGGCTCTGTCACGGCAGTGGCAATGCTCGTTTGCGTAGGGCATAGTTCCTTTTCCTCCTGGAGGTGGCGCGCGCCGTCTCTCGGTTCCTGCAGCCACCAGCAAACTATCATCACTCCACCCCGCTGCTGTCTTTGCACGGCACACTCGGCATAGGTAATGGCCAAGTACGCCTTCGCACTCTTCGCGAGGCCAAGTATTGGCCTTCGTATCTTGGAGAATATCTTTCCTTGCGTTGAGCCTGAGGCGCGGACTAGAATTGCAGTAAACTTGGTTGTTTCAGCCGAGCCCGAACCAAATTCATTGCGCGGAGAGTTTTTGGAGCTGTGTCTCATAGACCGTGGACGTCATAGCAATAACCTACGCCATCAACGCCGCAGCACAAACATCGCAAAGGAACGGGGGGCGCCCCGTTGACCGGTCGTAACAGTGTATACCCACCATGAGTAGCGATGATTACCATACAATGGGACGCCGTGCTCCACAAACGCCTAGAAAACGATGTATCGAGTTCAGGGGTCGCCATGTCCTAGCCGCTCCCCGAGCCGAACAGTAAGCCGACCTATCCTTGATACAGCACAAGCGCTCCGGTGATCTACCAACGCCCAGGTTCTGCTGACCCGAAATAGACCGTGTGGCCCTACTATAGTAGAAGCGACAGGGCTGCTGCGCGAAGACGTGCATGCCGAGGCCACTAGACTAATCTCGCTCGTGTCAGGTCTCGCGCCGCCGCGTCGGAGAGAAAGATATATCTAGGGAGAGTCTGCGCCTGGGAAGATCTTCACGAGTTATCGCCTGTCACTCATCGCCCTTACCGTCAACTCGGGGTGCAGAGACTCATCACTCTTGGAAGTCATAGACTTCCGTACATTCGCTTTTGCAACACACTCGCTTTATTACGCTTAACATGCGTGTTACTACTCTAATAGGCCTTCTGGCCGGACTTGCCAGCCAGACTGTCAACGCAGCCTGCAGCGCACCCCTCAAGATCGACGACTTCTCTAAGAAGGCTTCCAACCAGAACAGCTTGGGCGAGTGGACCAGTGGTAGGTCCGGTTGAAGTCCTGCACATGAAGAAAGGCTAATCAGCGCAGATGACGGATCCATGTCCTCGATCTCGGCCAGCGGCGGTGTCCTGTCTTTCAAGCCCAAGTCAGCTGGAGGTTCTTACTTTTACGAGACCTTCCCTTGCCAGGCAGCTAGCTCCAATGGATACAACTCTATCAGCTTCCAGATGAAGGGACCTGCCGGTGGCTCCGCGACCCTCGAGATTCAGACCAAGACCAGCTGCTCGGCTACGACGTACTCTTCCAAGTACGTTTCGATCTCTGGATTGACTGGCAGCACTCAGACCATCAACATCCCTCTGTCTCAGTTCTCTGGTGCCAACGCCAATGCTGTTACCGGTTTCGTTTGGGCTGGATTTTCTTCCACCACCGACACATGGCAGATGAGCAACATCGCCTTTGGTTGCGGCAGCAGTGCTGGTGGCAGCACCTCCGTCTCCGCAACCAGGGTGGCTACCACCTCGAGCTCCTCGGTCCGCAGCACCATGACAACAATCTCGTCTCCCACGGCCTCAGCTGGAACCTGCTCTCCTTTGTTGATCGATGACTGGATTTCTCAATCGCGTCTGACTTTCTTGTTCTACAACGCCATGGGATACCCTACCTCTGATGATGCTTCCATGACTTCCATCACCGTTGGAAAGCCGTCTACTAACCACGTCGAGTTCGTTCCCAAGGCCGACTCGTACTTCTACACCCAGTTCCCCTGCGTCGACGCGAAGAAGAACAAGTACACCGGTATTTCTCTTCGCATCAAGGCTCCTAAGGGCGCAACCCTGTCCGTTCAGCTCGACTCTTCGGACAACTGTGACGCAACCAACCCCAAGTCCACCTACGCGTCCGCAACTGACCTTGGATGGACTTTCGATGGAACTGAGAAGCTGTACACCATTCCCTTCAGCAAGTTCGCTGGCCTCAACACCGAGAAGCTCACCACTATCCTCTTTTCCGGATTCTCTGGTACCACTTCCTTCGGTCCCATGGCCTTCTACTGCGGCAACTCTGGAGAATACGTTGTGCCTCCTACCTCTGCCGACCCCGGCGCCTCTGCTACCGTTCCCGCTCCTAGCAACCCATCCGCTACCGGCCTCGTGATTGACAAGTTCGCCAACGCCAACACCAACGCCATGGGCAACTGGCACGGTGGTGACGAGGGCATGTCTCTCCAGTACGCTGGCGGCAAGCTCACCATCAAGTCCCCCGACGCCGACTACTCTTACTACACCCAAGTGTCTGGTGGCTGTGCCGACTTCACCAAGTACAAGGGATCGTACCTCCACATTGCTTACACCGGTACCACTGCCTTCACTGTCGCTTTCCAGCAGCACAACAGCCAGTGCAACACCGAGATCGCTCCCTTCCCTGAGACTTGGGATTCCGCTGAGGCCGGCCGCTACGCCAAGAACGGACACATCTACATCCCCATCAGCCACTTCAACATCAACCTCTCCCGCGTCGTCGGCTTCGCGCTCAAGGGTTTCCACAGCAGCGAGTCTGTCACCCTCTCCGTTATCGAGATCGTCTCCTCTGTTCCCGCCGGTACTACCATTCCCAAGAAGGACGAGACTGGTGACCTAGTCTTCGCTTGCAAGCGCCCCAACTCCTTCGCTTTCGCCATCGACGACGGTCAACCCGACCTCGCCCAGGAAGTCCTCAAGATCATCCGCGAGGAGGACGTCAAGGTGACCTTCTTCACCGTCGGCGCTCCCCTTCTCGACGCCTCCACCAACCTGACCAACGTCTA